AGGAAAAAGGGCAGAGCTCCAACACTATGGCACCCATCCCAGGCTACGAGGACATCATCTTCACCGACAACGAACACCGAACCCGCTTCATCTCCATAATTGCAAGGCAAGTAAAACCCTCCCGTTTTTTATGCCATGATGCTCTCAATGAGTTAGGAGTGTATAAGAGCAGTAGGAAATTTTTCCATGAGTTGAGCATGGATCGTATATTCAAAATGCAATATCACTCTAACGAAAAAATAATCTATGAATTCATGAGTTCGGTGCAATTTGAGACCGATGAAGCTGATTTTAGGGATGATAGACTCAAGTTTCGTCTGTTTAACCACAACCACTCCATAACGAAACTTGAGTTCGCCGAACATTTTGGTATTTCGGTTCCCTACCAAAAATCCATATCCGATAATACCGCTTTCGGCCATGCCCTGTGGACAAAGATGACCGGGGAGGCTAAATTTAGCTCCTCCCAACTGTATATTAGTCATGTCCAACATCCCGTCCTCCGCTTATTCTTGAAATTCCTTGCCAATTGCTTGCTTGGACGTCCCAACAACCATCACACTAGGATGGGGGATGTATGCCTGATGTCTGTAGCCCTATTCCGTGTTCATGTGGATTTCAATTTGTGCAATCTTATGTGGGCACATCTGAAAAAGGAAAGCGCAGCCAAGGGCACTATTGTTGTGGGTGGGGTGATTATGCACTTAGCCACCAAGTTCGGGTATACGGATAACTCTCCTATACCCGACTATTGTTTGATGAACATCTCTTGGTTGGGCCATTCGGGATGTACATCATTTTCCCACACAGTTTATGGTGGAGAAAGACAAAAAAATATGTACAACAGGCTCATACATCCCAAGCCTCTCAAATACTTCCTCCTACCAAACCAAGAACTTCCCAAACTGCGCTACAGAGAAGCAGTAGAGGAGCCCCATTACCTATTCCCACACGCCCTACCACCACATCTCCAAGAACCGGAGCAAGAGCCTCCCCAATACCAACCCGATTACGAACCCTATGCTCAACCTCATGGCCATGAAGACATGGACAACGACATCCCCGAACAAACTCAAAACCCTCCACCACCCGACTTCTTTCAACAGCTTTTGGAGGGTCAACAACAATTGCTTTCGGGGTACACTCAAATAATTGAGAACTACATGGTTATGGGAGACCGGCTCAACCAAATACAGGAGGAGCAAATGGCCGGTTTTCAGCGATTGGAGGAGCTCTGGGAAGCCGATAGGCATCGGTATGAAGAAGATCAACGTAGGTTCTACAGACCTATGTACTCTTACATGGCACAACAAAGATCTTTTCATACCATGGTCAATCCCCCTCCACCAACCTCGTGGTATGACCCCACTCATTGGGGTAACTTTGGAGGATCTGGCTCCGGGGGTGGAGGGTACGACGGCGGAGATGGCGGGGACACATACATGGGAGATGGCGGGTAGGGGAGCGGCTTCGGAGGCAGCTACTACGGTGGAGAAGGCGAGCACTAGGGACAGTGCTTGGTTCAAGTGCGAGGGAGAGACTCATCATGGTATGTAATTTTAATTTCCAACTCGCACTATGCATGTAATTCTTTTGAACTTTTTGCACACAAAAAAAAGAGAATAAATAAAAGAAAAGAAATGCTAGTTAGGTTGAAAACCCAACAAAATGGGCAATCTAAGAAAAAAAGGCTTATAAAAAAATGATGAATGAGTTGGGAAGAATGGAAAATGAAAAGAGATGCTAGGATGAAAACCTGAAAAGGCTCCTAGGCAAAATGAGAGATATGAGAGAGATGTTTGTTTTTGCAGGCACTCATTGTATCTCTTTGAAGAATGAGAAGATTCAGAAAACAAAGAAGAAGAAGAAGAGAGGAGGAGAAGAGAAGATGAACACTAGAAGACCGTAAAACCCAAGATGTTCTTTGTAATTTGAGCTTAAAACTCTTTTTTTTTTATCCTTGGTGGTCTTTGTGTTTGTATGTTGTTTAAACTGTGGAAACTTTGGAAAGACTTGACCTTGTGAACATTTGATTTTACTCGAGGACGAGTAAAGAAACTAAGTGTGGGGGAGTTGATACGTTTGTAATTTCTATGTATATGTTTGTGTTTTTAATTAGTTTTGCTTGATTTTTACTTTAGAAATTACACACTTTTGGTGTAATAGTTTAGTTTGTTAAATTCTTGTAAACAGTTTAGATTAGGTATATTCTGAGCTCAAACAGGTCTTGATCACTCAAAGGACAGTTGGTGAACCCCAAAAAGTGGAAGGAAGGTGCATAATTTTAAGACAAAAGAAGGATCCTGAAATTTTGGTCTATACTCGGTCGAGTATCACCTATACTCGATCGAGTATTAGGTTGAAACTTCAAATCGGATCAGATCCGAAGACAAGGGAACATGCCGGGAAGATTTCGGCCACGATTAAGTGTCTATACCCGATCGGGTAGACCGACATACCCGATCGGGTATGCCTTTAAGTTAAAACGTAATCGGTCAAGTATGGCTCGAATATAACTTTCTACACATACTCGACCAGGTATAAACATATACCCGATCGGGTATACCTATGGAACATAGCCTAAAACCGATCGAGTATACCTCGAATCTGGTATTACACACATACTCGATCGGGTACCATGTATATACCCGATCGAGTACCCGAATCCCATCCCAAAAGCCTATAAATACACCCTCTTTCCTTTATAAATGACATCGAATTCCTTTGTACATCTAATCTCAGTATAGAATAGTTCTTTCTTTATATTTTTCATCATGTTTAGTATCCAAATGAGGAGCTAAACTCTTCCATCTTGGTTTTGCTACTTTGAAGCTTAATGAATTTGTAAGTTGTGAGTTATTTTCTTTAAATCTTCTTCCTTGAATATTACTTCTTCCTTTAAAATACTATTTCTATATCAAAGTTGGGGAGTGTTACTAAAATGACAATTAGTTAACATCTTAACATTGGTTATTGTAATAGTTATTTCTTCCTCTATGTTAATATTGGGGAGTGTTACTAAGATGACAATTAGTTAACATCTTGATATTAATCATAGTAGGATTCATATTCTTTAATATTCTTTCTTGAGTATTAATTAATTCCTATTCATATTTCATGTTAATATTTTAAACATTACTTAAAGTATCAACTAGTTTTGTTTCTCATATTAATTATTACTAGAATCAATCGGTTAATACGCTTGTTATTAATCCGATTCTTTCAACGGTAGTAAACTTGGATTATTAATGCATGCATCTCATGGTTAATATGCCAAGGGGAATTAATTATATTGATTAAACCAATAAACCGCTTGTGTTGAGGTTATCAATCTCAATCGTTTTCATCTTAAGTTTATTGCTACTATCAAGTTAATATACGGCGCTTGTTCTATATTGTCTCGATAGTAAGCTTTATTAATGAACGCATTTCGTTATTAATAACTACTCTCGATGAACTGGATATACTCCTCGATTGAGTATTCGAGAGGAAGATAGTTAAAGATATAACCGGGATCAACGAACATTTCATTAAACGGATAAAAGCAAAATCAAGCCACCACATCTATTAATCAAACTCATACAGGCTGTTCATCTTAGTATTTTTAAATCAAACAAATCTAAACCCCCCTTGTTACTACTTATATAGAAGAAAAGTATTCCTTTCCCTGTGCATATGAACCTTACTTCGTTATACTATGTATAATCGTTGTATTGTAATTATTTTGAGTGCACCTCACGACAAGGGACGTCATGCATGCATACAGCCTATGAACGCCACTCTTTGTCCTGTGTAGACCTTGAGTGCTTCTGTGTTGTTCTTCATATTTGTGAGTAGGTCATCCCAAACACGTCATCACCCCAAGGGTAAGAATTAAATTCATCCAAGTCTTGTACCAAGTTAATATATCTTCGTGGTAAGCGAATTGCGTATTGGTTTCCAAACAGTCCATGTGCTAGAACATAGAGCAGTCCTAGTTTAACACCATCATTCTCTTCTGTTCCTGGATTGTTTCTGTTGTACCCCTCTAATGCTTGGACAACATTCTGCCTCACTATTGCATGTTTGGTACCAAAATACCTTCTGCACATATCTCCACCCATATCATCAGATACTGCTGGTTTAGCCCCATTTATCTGCAAACCGGTGACAATTGCCAAATCTGCTTTTGTAAAGCTTATCACGCTATTGCCTACATGGAATCTTATGACATCCTTTTCAACCTTACCATTGAACTCCTCAATATAATTTGCTACAAAACAAATGTTCAGCTGCCCACTTAATCTTGTCATATGTTCTATATCTAGAATCAGGCCTAGAACTCAACTTGTAAAAAGATTTAATTATTTCGTCTGTATTCAACTTTTCCTTGATTCTCTTACCAACCTCACTCAAATTACAAAAGCAATTCACACGTATTTTTTTAAACTTATCCAGCAATCCTCTATCACATGTCCTCGTTATAGTCTGCAGTAAACAGTTATTACATCAATATTACCATATAGAATAAAATTTGAACAGTTATGTCCATTTCAGATATTAATATCTTTTACCGTCATATTACTTTTAATGATTTCCATTTCAGATGACATTAAGCCTAATACTTTGAAATGAGGCTCGACCTTGTAACGATTAAAAAATAAGCATATGTGTATATGTTTTACACTTTCGGTACAAGATGACACTTAATAACAAAACTTTCGTATGCATTGTAATCAATTAAATCAATACCCTACATAGCATTCTCTCATATTTTACATATTGACCTAACTACCTCAGATATCTTTTAATATCATTTAGCATAGTACTTTGTAATGACTATTGATCTTGTATGACAAGAAAAGATTGATCTTGTATGACATAAAAAGAAGCAGTGTGTATATATAAATAGAGAGAGATCATGATTGATCATATTTAATATCACAAATAGCCTATTGATACGTAAATATCAATAGCCTATATATGGGTAATTTTCTCTAATTTATACTTGGTATATTATATTTTTATCTAATATTTCTTGCTTTATCTAGTATTATTACAATCATGATTATTATTATTATTATTTGTCGAAGGATAATTAACATGCAAAGTGTACAATGCATCAAGCTAAAAATATATATGTAAGCGATAAAATATACAGTAGATAGGAGAAGGGGAAGGTGGCGTTAATAGAGGGCGGTGGAGTTGATGGAGCGGGAGTGTAGGGTAGCTAGTAGTCTTCGGCTGCAGCTGCAGGAGCAAGAGGCTGGTGATGAGGATCGGGATGAGTGTGGCGTTGTACGATGCCGAACTCGTAGATAAGGGCAGCCAAGGCAGCCCCGATGAAGGGGCCCAGCCAGTAGATCCAGTGGTGGCTCCATCTCCATCCCACCAAAGCCGGCCCAAATGCTCTGGCCGGGTTCATGCATGCCCCGGTGAAGGGTCCTCCCACAAAAACATTGGCCCCCACCACGAAAGCGATGGCGAGAGGGGCGGCAGAAGCCCCGGCCGGGTGCAGCAGCTTCTGGTTGGGGTCGAGCGCGGTGGCGTAGACGGTGTACATGAGCCCGAACGTCATGATGATCTCAAGCAGCAGCGCACTCCCCCAGCCCTCTCCGTGCGCTAAAGCGAACCCTGCGGGCCTCAGGCCATCGGTGGCGATCCTGAGCACAAGTGAAGCCACAACTGCACCCAAAAGTTGAGCCACCAAGTAATAGAGCGCGCGGAGGAAGGACACTCTCCCGCACACCAGTGCGCCCAAAGTCACGGCCGGGTTCACGTGCCCCCCCGACACATTGATGGACGCTGCCACCGCTGCAAACAGAGCCAGCGCCTGAGCCAGAGCCAGCACTGTCAGCCCCGACGCCCCGCCACCCAACAATCTTCCTTCATCCGCCCCCGGGTACAACTTCGCTGCATTATACATACAGTATATATAATTAAAACATATGCATGCATGATACACGTACTAAGCTAAGCAGCTAGCTAGCTTTACCGATAGACAGAACGGCTCCTTCTCCAACGAAGACAAAAAGAAAAGTTGAGAGGAATTCGGAGAGGGTGGCGCGCACGGAATCCGGGTGACTCGCCTCATCTGCAGCTCTCCCCAAGGAATAGTTCCGCGGCATGATGATGCCAGCTACTATCTATCTTTTCAGAATTGAGATACGTACGGATTATATCTATCTGCCTTCCCTTCTCTCTCGATTCAATTCAATCAAGATTAGTTTCTAAATAATTAACTGCTGCCCGCTTGCATGAGATCAATCAATAAATAAAGCTCATATCCCGGCCCCTATATATAGAAAAGAAATATGGTATCATAACTCCATTTGAAATGACCCCTCGTCCCACTTAAACTTGTTATCAATAAAATTATTTTTATTCATAAAATTTACATCTTTACAAACTACACATTAAAAGTTTTATAATATTTGATCGAGAAAATAAACGCAACAGTTCACCTTTCACATTTGTCGATTCACAACTTTGACACTTAATATATTTAAGGTAGATTCTATGGTATCCATAATGTACCGTACATTTGTTCACATGGACCAATGAGAATGTTGCAATTGAATTATTTAAATCTAAATTAAAAATGATATAATGATGTAGACCAATCAAGTGAATGATAGGTACGATATCCCATTTTTTAAATGGTTACCGGAGTTGTCACCTATATTTAATCCTCTACGAATAAACAAATTACAAAAATTCACACTCTTAAAAATTATGATTAGAAAAATTTAAAAGTATTTTTTCCAAAACAATCTATCAACGCATTAATAAATAAAGTGTAGTCAAAATATAACATATGAATAGTGTGAAATTCAACATTTTACATTTATTTAAGATCGGAAGAAGTATTAAATGGCACACTCATTTCAATGGAACGTATATATGCCTCGTCATCATCAACCAGCTCATACGGTAACATTTTTGTACTATTAATATTAAGGTAGATTTTAGGGTACCCATAAGATATCATATCTTTATCCACATGGACCAATGAGAATGTAGCAGTTGAATTATGTAAATCTAAATTAAAAATGATAAAGTGGTGTGCTCCAATCAAATGAATGGTAGGTACGGTACCCCATTTTTTAGAAGGGTACCGGAGTTGTCACCTAATATTAATTACTACCCCTTTGGTCCCTAAAATTTTCAAACTTTTCTTTTTTGTCTGTCCCAAAATTATCTTATCTTTCCCTTTTTGACAAATTAAAGAATTTGTGATTCACAACATTGTTACACGTTCTTACATATTTTTCACTCATCTGCACAATTCTCCACTAAATAATATTCACTATCTTAATATGTGTACCATTTGTACTTTAAAATTAAATAGTAAATATGTAATTATTTAACTATAAGTAATTAAATATTCTAGGAAAAGCTAATTATCGGCGAAAGAAGTAGATGGACAATTGGAGGAAGGAGGAGCTGGCTCGATGCAATGTGGTTTAATCTAATTCAGAAATAGACGTGATGGGTGCCGGGAAAGGTTTGATCATATTGACTTTATGACAAATTTTGAATAATGATTTCAAATATTATATTTTTATATAATTTTTAAATATAATTTTATACTACAATAAAAATATTTTGAATAAAGAACATTTCGATACTCCGTATCATTTTGGTGAACTTTTTACAGACGGAGGGAGTACATAAAAAGGAGATGGACATCCACTGTGTTCAACAATAATATTCTCTCACCGTCCCGAAAAGATTCGCCAAATTGATTTTTTTTATCAATGACAATCAACTTTAACAAATTATTTATATTTTCAACATAAAAATTTATATGAAAATTTTATTTGTAAAAACTCTTACTCCCCTGTACCGTACATAATGGCCGGGAGAGATCAATGTAGGCAGAGATCAGATGCGGATATGGACACTTGGGGCGTCAAGGTTCAGGAAACACGACACGTACTGCATGCGTTGTATTGCATGCATGCCTCACACTACTCGATCTTTGACATGTTGGAACAATATTATTTTATGAGAAAGGAAAGTTGTTGGGGAACAGTAGGTAAAATATTTTTTACGAAAGAATTTAGTTAAAGTTCCCGAAATAGGACTACAACAGTGAAAATTTCAAAATAAGACTGTCATGTTTTTATTCTCAAAATAGGACTAATTACTGTCATGTTTAGACAATAATACCATGTTTGAAGTCTGGTACTGCCAAAATATGACATTAATTAGTCTTATTTTGGGAATAAAAACATGGCAGTCCTATTTTGGAATTTTCAAACTGTTTTAGTCCTATTTCGGGCAACAGTCTCAAAAATTTAATTTATGTGAGCGCTACAATATCGAGAAAATTGCTCTTTGTAAGACTAAATCAATGCAAGTTTACAAAAATAGAACTTGGTCATGTTTTTTCCATCTCTGTGATTTATTTAATTCTATTTCAGAAAACTCTATTTTTTCCTTCCAATTTTACCCTTCAGCTCCTGTGACCCGCGACCTCACAAGAGGCACCTCCGCCTCACCTCCTCCAGCCACCAGGGACGTCCGATTCTCATCTCCAGCGGCAGCCTCCGCCTCGCCTCCGCCGTCTGCCGGCGTCTGCGCCGCTGTTGCAGATCCGCCGCCGCTCTATTTGGGGGGAATTGGGGCTAGGGAAATTCACCTTCGTTTTCTTCATTGGTGCACACTACGTTCTTCTTCTTCGCCGGAGATATCTCCGATGATGATATGAGGCATGTCGGAGAAGACCCAAGTACAGTGGCGGCGGCGCACCAGGCCCTTCTTATTCTCCCCTCCTCCTTGCGGGTCAAGACATTAGACTGATTGGTTTCCAGAATTTATTGTTTATTTAGTGTCTACTTATTATCTATTTATTGTCTATTTAATGTCTGTTATTTTCTAAAAGTAAGGTTATTGTAGTCAATGCATGTGTAGTTGAGTCTTACGCTAATCTTCGGTCTTAGTTTTGAAAAATCAGTACGATTCGCTTTGAAATCTCCCTACAATATCTTATACCCATAATAGTATAACTAAATCAGGGTACCGTTGCAACTTGCAATCACGAGCTAGAAATAGATGAGACATTTTCTAATTTTGGCAAAAAATACATGAGAAATTAAAATATTGAAATTGTAATAAAAACATGATGAGAAATACATAATAATATATGTTTCAAAACACATAAGGCTACTATTATTTTAATTATGGGAGATTTCCCAAAATAAGAGTAAATGTAGTTTGAAATGTCAAAATGGGACAACTATGTTTTTATTCCCGAAATATGACTAACATCGCAGTATTTACTATCATCTTGTAGACGTGACTGCCAAATGATTGCGGTATAGTGCATTTAACATGTCAGTATTTATTATAATTAATGACAATATTTTTCAATCATGAAAGCGTTTTTCATTCTTGGGAGTAACAACTCCTATTTTGAAATTCTAAACTTCATTTACTTCTATTTAGGACAATTTCCCTTTAATTATCAGAAGATAGAAGTTGAGACAATTGTGTCCTGCCTGAATTATAAAATATTTTATAAGTTTCAAACTATAAATTTATAAAAATACAATGTAAAATTCACTTATATATGACACATATGTTTGTGATTAAGTGAAAAATAGGCAATTTATTTAGGCATAATATTTGAACTAGTCAAACAATAATAAACAAGTAAAAGATTATTTCGATAAATTTAAAATTTTTGTGAAATGAAGAAGATGCAGGATAAATTTAAGAGAGAGATATATTATTGATAACCTCTGAATTACTTCTTCTTAATCTGAAATTTTTTGAATTGCTTTACAAGAGATTGAACAAGTCCTATTTATACTGGCCAAACTTGAGATGAATCATCTAGGAATGATTCTACACTATTTGCTGACAGTATTGAATCTAGCCATGTGTGTGATTACAAGGATTTGTGTTTGATGAGTAGTCTGATTACAAGGATTAGAATTTGCTTGGTTTCTTGATTATAAGGATGGACATTCACACATGTCATTTTGATGATTTTACAACACTCTGCCTTGAATACTCATCCTTGAATATGTATTTTTTATGTTAAAAACTAATTGCAAAAATGAGTGTACAAATTAAGGGGTAAAGATTATGAATTATAATGTCGTTGTATTTGGATGTATTGTCTCGTTAAAAACCTTATCAGGAAAAACCCAGTGGGATAAAAACCCGATGAAGGAAAAAAGAGTGCAGTGCATTCAAATACTTCCCCTGAAATTAACATAAATTTTGAAAGCGGTGCATGCCGATTTTCTGTACGAGTTCTATGAACTTCTTTGGGGGTAAAAATTTGATGAAGATATAGGCCTGATTTTTACTGGATCTGATTTTTTGAATGTTGATCGTCCCTTCTGATGAAATGGTTAGCAACACAAGGGGGGGGGGGGGGGGGGGTGAATTGTGTGTGTGTGTGGAACCGTGACAGTTTTTCGCACAGTTCTAGTGTGAGGTTCAGGGAAATGCGAAATATTAAAGTGCACAAGGATTTAACGAGGAAAAATCCCTTGGCTCAAAGGGATTAAAAAACCTCGACTTCCCTCAGAGGAATTTGAACCAACTCCACTAAAAAGCCTTTGAATGATTACAAGGGAAACTCTCCTAGTCTACCCTTGAGCCACCCCAATTTTTTTTTGGCCCGAAAAGCCGTCTCGCGGACGGGGCTAGCGACGGGTGGCGCTAAACGAATTTATTAAAGAGATCAAACTTTTTACAAAGCAAAAATGGGCTGCACTTGGCCGACCCATCGTTTTGGTGAGCCCATTAGGAATAGGCCCAGGACATAATGCGTTAAAAGGAGAGGGGTCAACGACATAATGCGTTAAAATTGTGTGGGGAACCCTAGATTCTTTCGAATCAGAGAGAGAAGTTGTGGAGGTGTTGTGTTGGTTTTGGGAAGGCGATGGTGTTCCGCTCCGCCGCACTTCCATCAGCCTGTGTCTCTGAAGAAAGGCCGACCTTGTCTGTCTTCTATGCAAGCTTTGTGTATTTGCAGTGGGAGTTGGGAGGGAGCGTAGTGGTGGATGGACGAGGCTTCTTCCCTCGCCAAAAGGTGTGCCGGTCTATTCGCTTCTCGAACAGTGTGGACCAGTCGAAGGTCGTGGTTGTGGCATAGCTCTCTGATCCTTTTCGTTTCCGTGTTCAAGAAGCCAGGTAACTCTATTCTTCCATGGACCGCTTTGAATACCTGTTCACAATCTGTTTGGATTTCAAATGTTTTGTATCCCTGTGCTGTAATTTCT